ATAACCGAAAATACAGTCAATTTCTTCCTCAAGATAAAGTGTGCGAGTTTGCGCAGGTATATTTCACTAGGTTTTCCTATTGGAGGTTTGCTTAATATACAATGATTAACGTGCCAACATTAATTTTAACTAGATGACACCACCGGAGTTACTTGTGCAAACTCAGAAGGCAGTTGGTGAGAAAGAATTAATTGAATGGCACGATACTCTTGTTCAGTTAAGAGAAGAAGAAAAAACTCTCACAACAGTAATAAATATTTAATATTTTATGTTCTAATTTTAAGCTGTGTTTATTCTAATTATCCATTGGATGTAAAATTTAGTCAATAAAGACTGATAGTGAGCAGGTTGAAAATCTCGAAAAGAGAAATTCAGTTCTGGAAAAAGATGTAACACGCTTCAGAGAAAGGGAAGCTATATTAAAACGGGTAAGTAATTACACTTTAAGGTTTAATAAGATTACCATTAATACGTATTTAATGTATTTATTTATTCAGATTCGATTATATGAACTGCGTATCCCTTTCGCCCGTTACGGTGTTGCAAAACATATGTATGATGTAGCAAAGCAGAAACGGGCGGAAACACACCTAGAGTACCAAAATCTTGCTAAAGAGAATGAACCTGCGACTACTAGAAAAGGGTATTAGTGCAAAAACTGTCTATTTCTATTTTTTTGTAATTGTTTTAATTTTCATTGATAAAATAGTGAGCTCGAAGAATTAGCATCACGAGCTGCTAAAGAGAAAAAAAGATGCACTGAAATGTATAACACAAAAAAACGAAAAATGGAAGAAACTGCAAATAGATTAGAGCAATCGGTTGGTTTAATTTAGCTTATAAATAACATCCTACGCGTTAAAAATGTTAAAATTAATTGCACATTTATTAAAGGAAGCAACAAGTGAAAATATTCGAAGGGATTTAGCAGATCTCAAAAAAAAGGAAAGAACAAGAAAAAATCGTATTGCTCAACTTCGTAATGAAATCGCCGAATTGGAAGAAAGAACTAGTTCCCCACCTTTAAGAAGTGATGACTCTGATATTCGGCAAAAAATGGTATTCATTCTAAAACTTTCGTTTTAAGTAGTAACAAAAATCTTTAATTAAAATCATATCACTGTTTAGGATGATGTCGCACGTCGTTCAAGAGAATTACAATCACAGCTGAACGATAATAAGTTTAGCCAAGACGAAATTAATTTAACGGCCAGCAATGTTGATCGTGAGATGCAAAGAGTAAAACAACAGTAAATATAATTTTATAGTTAATTTTTTTATGAATTATTTGGATGATTTGATGATACACGGAATAACTACTATTATATTAAGACTTAAAGAGCTTGATGACGTAAAAAGGCGTCGCCTTGAAAGCATTAGTCGTATTGACTATGACACTTTTCGAGCTTATCAATGGTTGCAACAAAATCAGGATAAATTGTGTGGTCGCGTTTTTGGGCCAGTCTGTATGGAAATAAATATTAAGGATATGCAATATGCTGACGCAATAGAGAACGCGCTAGGAAATGTTAATAAGGTAAAATAAGAATTCTACGATATATCGTCAATAAAGGTAATTTATCAACTGTTTTTATAGATATTCGTATGCGAAATGGAACAAGATTATCACACAATTACAAGAGAACTTTGCGATAATCGCCGCATGAAAATAAATGTATTTTTCCCTAGAGCAACAATGGATTCATTTCCACCACCCATGTCACACCAACAGGTAACGTTTGTAAACGTTTCTGAATGTTCTATACGAGTGCTATATTAAATAAATACCATCTACCTCTAGCTTAGATCTTATGGCTTTGAAAATTACCTTTTGGATTTAATAGAAGCACCGCCGCGACTGCAAGCAGCACTTTGTGATATGTCTAAATTGCATGCAATTGTGAGTATGGTATTGCTTATTAGTGCGTGTCATTTATTTCATTTATTGAAGCCTTAACTTTACTAATCAATCAAATCCTAAAGCCATTGGCGAGGAATGAGTCGGATATCAATCATGATTTTATTAAGGGCAATAGAGCCTTTTTTAAATATTATGCCGGGGAAACGTCTTATTCGGTTTCGTTTTCCAAATATGGTCAAAAGTTTTCACAAGTCCTCACTAATAGAATAAGGCCATCAAAGTTCTTCACTGCTACGAGTACGCTTCACTTATTCATTACATGTTTACATTATGTTGATTTAGAAAATATTTCTGACTCATTTAAATTCTAGTGAATCTCGAAGAAAAACAAGAACTTGAAAGACAACTCCACGGATTTCAGATAACGTTAAATCAATCTGATCAATCTCTCACTAGTCTAAGAAAAGAGTATGGGAATCTTCAAAAATCCATTGATTTGTTGTACGGTGAACGGGTAATAATTTATCATTCTCTGAACTTTCTTGTGAATTTGTCTTTTTGTATTAAAACTTTTTAATCTGTTAAGAATACACTCAACGAAGAAAAACGCAAAAATCAACTTGCTTTGAAAGAATTTGAAAGGTTGAAAGTTAGACTTGGTAAATTATCATATTAACATATTGTTTCTGTGAGATGCATTATTAAATTATTTGGCGATCATTGGTTTAGGCACAAAAAGAGACCAATTGCAACGTGAACTCGAACAACCCGCTTCAATAATGGACGAAGAAAATGCATTGAGAAGAGACTTTAGTAAAATTGCGAAAAAGCGAGGACAACTTGTTATACAAATTAAAGTTTGTAATATGTTACCATATTATTTAATCCGACTAATAATAATGATTATTAAATTCGTTTGCGTTACAGAAAATTATGGAGGAATGCATGCAGCTATTTTCAGAGAGAATTTTGGCAACATTAAAGCATATGCAAGCTTCATCAGATCTCAATGCTCTAGAAAGACAAACTCAAGACAGAGATGAAGCATTAAAACAGGCGCATGCAAAGTTTTCAGAAGGTAAGTTCTTCTAAACTTATTTTGCATGATATTTTATGTAAACATTATCTGACTTCATCATTATTATTAAAGCTGATGTAAGATTTAATAGAGCTAAATCAGAAGCAAGGCGTTTACTTAACGAAGCGAATGCTGGAATTGAAGGTATTGATTCAGAAACTAGTCGCGCATTACAAGAGGTACATCACATAATATATCTGCATTATAAAGTGCTATGATAATAAAATAATTAAGATGCTAAACTTTTAATGTTTATAAACTGTTTCTTTATGATAGCTTAGCCAGGGAATGACACTTGAAGAACTTGAAGATGCGGTTGCAAGTGAACGTGCTAAAGCTGATTTACACTATGCAATTGATTCACGTGTTATTGAAACATATGAAACAAGGAAAGCTGAGGTAATTATTAATAAAGTTGCAATAATAGTGGTTCCAAATATTGACTCCTTGCATCTATTTTAGATTGATTCAATCAAGTCTAGATTGTCAATTAAAACATCTCGATTGGCGAAATTGACTAGTGACTTAGTGACTCTGAGGGTAAGTTTTAAGAAGCACGTTGCTGAAATTCTTATGTATTACATTTGTCAATTCTAATTGTATGAATTTGAATAGGAAAAATGGGAGCCACGACTGAATTCTCTAGTTAAAGAAATTAGTCAAGGATTTTCTAATGCGTTTGACCGTAAGCGTTTCTACTTAATTAATTAATTGTGAATATTTTTATTACATATATGATGTTAATTTGCTATTATTGATCAATTTGGCTGATAGGTATTGGATGTGCTGGCGAGGTTCGTGTCAGTACCCACGAAGATTATGACAAATGGGGTATTGATATTTTGGTGAAATTTAGGTTTGTACATTTTCCTGTCATCAAATAATGGGCTTATTATAACATATATGAGCTGTTCTAATGAACCTATAAATAGAGATAATGAAAGACTCCAGGTATTAACAGGTCAAAGGCAGTCAGGCGGTGTATGTATAATTAGAATAAATGATTTAAAATTTTTACTTTGCATAAAAAATCGTTATTTACCTTTTTTTTTTTTGAAAAATAGGAACGATCTGTTTCAACAATAATGTACTTAATGGCGCTACAAGAGCTGTCTAAAACTCCATTTAGAGTTGTTGATGAAATAAATCAAGGAATGGATCCTCGTAATGAGCGATTGGTACATAGTCAAATGGTTCAAACTGCTTGTCGCCCTAATACATCGCAGTAAGTTATTTACAATTTTGCATCCATAAATCCTAAATTTAATTTCTAAAATACTTTGATCTTTTTTTTTAGATATTTTTTGATCACGCCAAAGCTTTTACCAGACCTTGAGTATCACGAGAAGATGAAAATTCTATGTATATATAATGGAGAGTGGCAGCCTGAGACTATGAATTGGAAGAAATATATTGCGGATAAGAAAAAATCTAATAATTAGAATAGTAAATTAGGGTTGGTAAAGTCGGGACTTTAGGACCTGGTCTTTAAACCTGGTCTTTAAAGACCAATTCCAAATTTAAGGACCTAGTCTTTAAAAAGTTCTAATATACAAATTTATAATTGCATAATTCTGGACAGCCTAATAAATATATATACAGTATAATTCAATAAAGTTTTAAATGGATAGTTTAAGATCATAATCTTAAAGCTAATAGGTAAATGTACATTGTGAAGGGTAACATCAAAAAATCTGCACTTAGCGGATTTATAGTTTTGATTAATTATGATACGTATTGGACTAATGATGCAGACATTTAAAATCTTGAAGGTAACTACCCCGGCAAAAAAATTACGGCGATACGGCACATTTGCCGTA